GCCAAATTAACGATTTTCTGGGTCACCATGTGAGTTTGTCTGTTTAGTAGACATACTATTTATTCACCATTTACTCAACAAATATTGTTTCCTGTATGTACCAGACACCATTCTAGATGTAGGAGTGAACAAAACAGACCAACTATGCGTTCATGGAACTTCCCTTTAAGAGGAGAGCCTGAGAATTAGCAGATCTATATGTAGAAATACAGTGTGTTGATGGTGCTAAATGTTTAGAAGAACACTGAAGCAAGAGAAAAGGGAAAGGGAGTATCTGAGCCGGGAGGGCATTGCTGCTGCACACTAGGTGATTGGGAAAGGCTTCCCTTAAAAAGGCAGCATTCAGGCAGAAATCTAAAGCAAGGAGCAAGCCAGGCATGCACAATCTGTAGAAGCAGAGTATTCCAGGGACACGGAGCCACAAAGCAAGAGCGTACCTGGCAAGGAGGCCAGTGAGCTGAAGCGGAGTGGGCGTGGAGAGGAGTGGCAAGGTGAGAGTGTGGGGCAGCGCACAAGGGCCTTGGGGACCTCCGGGAAGGCTTTCCATTTTTGCACTGACTTGGAAAGGCTTTGGAGGTTTCGGGCAAAGAAGTGACGTGGTCTGACTTAGGTTTTAAAGGCATCACTTTATAGCTGCTGTGTTGAACACAAACTATAATAGAGCAAGTATAAAACTAGGGAAACCAGCTCGGTGGCATTCTTGAGGAAAGGGTGCATATAGTCTGGCAAAAATGTTTCCTTATAAACATCACATTGGTTTTATAGTTCCACTGACTGGGCTTTGGAAATGTTTTCTTTCAGCTAGTATTTTACTCAAATATAGCTTAAATTGCCACAGTAGCAGTATAAATTATTTTCTAAATATAGTGAAATATATAACTTTTTCTAGCTTTGTGGATTACCAGTTGATAATAGTAGTACGCTTATAGAGTGTTGGACCGTCTAAAAAGGAGTTTTGCATTTGTTATCTCATCTGATCCTCACAGCTCTTTAATATCAACATGGTAACAGTTAACTCCCTACAGAGTTGGAAACAAACATCACGTGCCAAGGCCAAAGTCATGTGCCAAATTTGTGACAGGATTAAAAAAACCTTGGTCATCTGTCTCCTAGCCCAGATTCATTGACTCTGTTAAAGGAGACTGTTACATTCAAATTATGTCTCAAGATTGCGGATCAAGGGGACATTTATATTAGCCAATATAATGTATCATTTAAAAAGCCATCAACCAGTGAGCAAGATACTGTGCTTGGTAATGATACATTTAAAGATGTATAAAGTATACACCTACCGTGTGAACTTATTTCTTTCGATAATGCTGATAACAGCAAAGGCATTAAGTAACTCTTAGTATAAAATGTCATAAAAGTCAAGTGTGGGGGCAAGCACCTGTAGTCCCATTGACTCGTGAGGCTGAGGCAGAAGGATCACTTGAGCCTGGAAGTTTGAGGTCAGCCTGGGCAACGTAGCAACACCCTGTCTCTGAAATACATACATACATATATTACATACATAAATCATATGCTTTTTCCCAAACTAAAGGTACAGACAGTAGATGCTACAACAGTTCGAAGGAGGTAGTGACTTTGATGGCCTGAAATGAAGGATGGGCAGGATTCAGATAGTTGGAAAATATAGAGGAAAGTCTTCTGAACCTGGGGGGTGGGAGGGAGATGAAGAAAACAGAATGAACAAAGCCTTAATGATGTCTTTTTTTTCTTTTGAGATAGTGATTAAAACAGTCTCACTGGAATGCAAAGATTGATTTGAGGATGACTGGGTGTCTACTACTTTCACACATAAAGTACTTCTGAAAACCAGGTTGAGAGGAGAGTGTACAAAAGTCATACAGTAGTAGGCTTACATGTATGTTAGAAAGATGTTGGAAAGCTGGAAAAATGCAGTCAGGTTCTTATTTACACCTGGTCTTTTAGAATATAGTTTAGCAGTTTCGTTGTTTTTTTATTTTCTCTTTCCATTGATCCACTTAAGTCAGATGTATCTGATCGAAACTAAAGATGTGCTGCTTTTAGCATACCTCTTAATTTCCAGGCAGCACCTTCTTCCAGGAGCTCAAAATGTTTGTTCATTAACGGTCTCCATCTGATGTGGCGGCTTAAGAATAGTTTAGGGCAAACTTGCCCAACCCGTGCTCCACAGGCCACATGAGGCACAGGATGGCTTTGGGTGCAGCCCAACACAAATTTGTAAACTTTGTTAAAACATGACGGGTTGTTGTGTTTTGGTTTGGGTTTTTTTGCCCCCTTTTTTTTTTAAGCTCATTAGCTATCTTAGTGTATTTTGTATGTGACCCAAGACAGTTCTTCCAGTTTGGCCTAGGGAAGCCAAAAGTTTGTACACTCCTAGTTTAGGGTGTCAATATATGAAAGAAATTGTCCAGAAGAAAAATATTTAAAGCTGAGGGCCCATGATAAGAACTAGATTTGAAAAATGAGACCAAGCTATGTAGAAGCTAACATTTGTTTCAGTTCAGCAAACGTTTAAGTGTCTGTCATGCTGTCTATGATGTGTTGTGCTAACTGCTGGGGCACACTTGAAGGCACAACCCTATTCTTAAGGAATTCATATTGTGGTGTGTGGGGGCGTGCCAGCGAATACTTAACCTCCTCCTTAAGGAGAGAAATGATGTCGTGAAAGTGTTATATTTAAGGTTTAATATGATGGTGGTATAACAATTATGTTGAAAAATTAGAGAAGACTAGAGGCCAAGAGACCAGGGACTTGCCAGTAAAGGGAACATTTATATTAGCAATATTTTTTTTGAGACGGGTCTCACTCTGTTGCCCAGGCTGGAAGGTAGTGGTGCCATCTTGGTTCACCGCAACCTCTGCCTCCCTTGTTGAAACAATTCTCCTGCCTCAGCCTCCTGAGTAACTGAGATTACAGGTACCCGCCACCATGCCAGACTGATTTTTGTATTTTTAGTAGAGATGAGGTTTCGCTACGTTGGCCAACTGGTCTTGAACTTGTGACCTCAAGTTGATCTGCCTGCCTCAATCTCCTAAAGTGTTCGGATTACAGGAGTGAGCCACTGCTATCCGTCATGTATTAGTAAATTTAATTTATTCAAAAAGCCATCAATCGGTCAGGCACGGTGTCTCACACCAGTAATCCCAGCACTTTGGGAGGCTGAGGCGGGTGGATCACCTGAGGTCGGGAGTTCGAGACCAGCCTGACCAACATGGAGAAACACTGTCTCTACTGAAAATACAAAATTAGTTGGGTGTGGTGGCGCATGCCTGTAATCCCACCTAATCGGGTGGCTGAGACAGGAGAACCACTTGAACCCGGGAGAGCATGTCTCTGTAGCAAGCCCTTCAGATAACACTCAGTATAACCTCTAGCAGGAGGCTGTATGAATTCAAGGTGGTATGCACAGGCAGGTATAAGCTCTTTTTATCGGTATCACCCCAGGAAATAAGTTCACAGGGTAGGAGTATACTTTATACATCTTTAAATATATCCCTTCCAAGCACAGTATCTTGCTCACTGATTGATGGCTTTTTTTTTTTTTTTTTTTTTTTTTTGAGACAGAGTTTCACTCTTGTTGCCCAGGCTGGAGTGCAGTGGTCCAATTTTGGTTCACTATAACCTCCATCTCCCGGGTTCTCTCATCACTGAAACAGAATCATCAACATAAAATAATAACACATATTTGTGGTTTCCATTCTTTATTTCTTCATCCATTCAACAAATGTTTATTGAGCACTTGAAATATACCTGGCAGTCTTTCAGGGGCTGGGAAGTACTGTAGTCAAGGAAAGAGACAAAGTCCCTGCCTTCATGGAATTTACATTCAAATGTCAGTTGTCAGGCACCACTAAATGAGCTAATATATAACAAAATGCCTAGCACATTGCCTGTCACATAAGTACAGTTTAGTAATAGTTACTGTGTTTGAACTTGAAATTTGAATTCAGTGTCTACTTTTGGCAAGATAATTAGTTGCTGTACCCTTTTGCCGGATGGAAGTTCAGGAGAAGATTAACCCATTTACAAGTTTTTTTAAAATGTTACATGAAAAAAAGTGAGTCTTCTGTTCAGTGTCAGTATAGTTGAAGTTATATGCTGTTTCAAATGTAACCAGTTGTCTCTGCTGGACCACTTTTGCCATAAAAGAAGCATTGAAGCAGGTGCTGCTCTCTACCATTAAAAGTGGCGTGCTCTTGTCCTCCTTGGATGTTTTTTGTGGGCTCCCCGAATTCCTGAAAAGGCTCATTGTTGTCACTGAGGATGCTTCACAGAAATCCTTTGTGTCATTACTTAGCGACTGACCGCTTTGGTGAAATCTATGTCAATTCTTTTGTTAACTATAACAGCAGTCAAAAATAATGTCAGAGAAGAGAAGGATAAATGAAACAAAGACCAATAAGTCCATGCATGTACACACATACACACATCTTTTAGATAAATTTCTAAGTATTCTCTGAAGTAGCATTTGCCTTGTAAAACATGGGAAATTCTAATACTACATTCATTTTGTCTTCGTTTCCTTCAGATACGACCTGTTACCCGTAGCATATGAATGATTTTTCCTTGTTGGCCTCCCTTTGGCCTTACTATTACTTAGATGGGAGGACTGTCTTGATAATTCCACATATAGAGCAAAACTCATCCTTTTTGTGCAAATTCTTTGCAAGAAGATTACATTTTCTTATCTACCTACTTTTCCTGAAAAATTGGGGAGAGGATGATGGGTGTATTTACTGTTGCTGTAAGCCAAGGTTTGATTTCACTTTCACTTGAAATAAACTCTTGCTTCTGCTGAAACCAGACATTGTTAAAAGTGGAGGAGTTAAGACCTTACGTTTTACCTTCAGATTAAAAAAAAAAAGCTTTTCATTAAATTTGATACTTGAATTTCAGATTGTGCAAATGATGTCATTTCTGCAACATGTTGTGTGCATATGTGCTTTTAAAGAACAAATGCTGTAGATATATGGAATTGGTTACATGGAGTTTTCCGGTCCCATTTTAGACGTGAAGCCCTCCAATATGCTAGTAAACACAAGAGGACAGGTCAAGCTGTGTGATTTTGGAGTTAGCACTCAGGTATGTCTCTTTTTCCGCCCAGTGTGTTCTCTTCTCTGCAGCAACCTCCTTTTATTTTCAGTCTGTTCTCTGGATTGAAAAATCACCTAGCTGCCAGACAAACAGAAACACTGCATCTTTTCCTCGGCTGGGAGTGTGTTATTCATTTTTAATCTCTGAGCGAGTTTCCTTCATCAGAATATGATTGTTCATTGTTTAATGACAGTAAAAACTGCTGATATTGTAATTACTACTTACGAATAGCAAACTTCATTGATATGCAGCTTTGATATGAAAGCGTTTTGGCCAGACAAAAGGGAGGGCAAAGTGGGAGCTGTGCCTGGGGAGCCCAACTGGCCCACAATAAAAATTAATATTGGGAGCAACAATGGTGGAGGGCCATTACAATGTGCAGCACAAATTTTAATTAATTTCCATTTTGGGCCTCCCCTGAGAAACCCAGTGATAGTGACCCATGAGCATGCTGTGATGTTGATTTGAATTGCAGCCACCTTTACTCCCAGCCAAACACGAAGACCAAAGCGAAGGTCGTGGTTGTATTATAAGTTGTCAAAGTCTGTTATCCCTCCAGCGTATTTCGTGTTCGTTTCATTCTAGTAATGCATGGGGCTTCATTCACATCTTGAGCCATCTGACTAAAAATTGAGTGTGTTCAAATTCTGCTTTAAATTGACTTTTTATATCAGATGGGTTTGGGGTACTAAAGCGATAAGCATCCTGCTTAAGTGAATTAAGGTTATCTGCTATAAACTGTAATGCTGCGCTTGTTTAAATTGGAAGTCACATTCAAAAGAAAAGAGAGATTTAATCATTTTTAATGCCTTTGTAGATAAATTTGTTCCCTTTTACATAATTTTTAGTTGATTTATACGAATGATGATTGTAGGTTAAATGAGGAATAATTGCCCATTTTATTTCCACATTATCTTTATATTGTTCTAACAGACTGTTTTGTCTCATAGCTGGTGAATTCTATAGCCAAGACGTATGTTGGAACAAATGCTTATATGGCGGTAAGTAAACTTATGCAAAAATAACATTTAAAACCAACATCTTTATCTTTATGTACTTGGTAATGTATAATTCTTGAATTAATTCCACAGCTTTAGCCTAGCAGATCATAAATTACAAAGTCAATCTAGTCATGATCTGATTTTTAAATCTTTCTGAAAGACATTAGGGTTTTTACAGGGGCTATCAACTTATCTGACTTTGTTCACTTAACTGGTTGGTTGAAGTGTGAAATCGCTGAGTTTTGAAGTTTAATCCTACAGAAAAATTGCACCTTGTAGCATATTGGCCACTTTTCCACATTTCTTATGTAATTAACCCTCAAGTATACCCAAATGTCAGTCAATAAAATTGGTTGTTTTTTCTTGGAATACAAACATGCTTTGTCACCAGATCAGAATTAAATTATTGATGTAGCCAAATTTTATTTATGGACCTCTGAATGTAAGGGTTTAGGGGCAGTTCTCTATAGAACTTGCATATCTCTATTTTGTTCACTCGTTTGATTTATGTCTATTACAAGATTAATTGCACTGAAATAAACTTACCAACAATAAAAAATAGAAGGATAAGACTGTTTCAAAGACCAATGTAGACTTGGCTTTTGAGTAAGGGAAATTATTTGTGTTCATAAAAGTACTTTAGTTTATGGGTTTCCATAATAAACTTGAGAGTCGGAGGGGAAAAAATTAAACAGGAACCTTATCTAGTGTTATTTTTGGAGCAAAGTTTTGTCTTCTTATAGCAACTTAAGGATATTTTTTGTAAGAAAGCTCTAAATTTATTTAGGCACTCTCTTGCATCTCTAATAGTCTTTGTTTATAGATCATGAAATTAAATGATGTTAATATAGATAAAACCATGAGTCTCATTCTCAGTATTCTTTGTTTATATATATTATCTTGATTAAAAGATTTAGAGATGGAACCTTATTCTAAACCTAATTCTAAACCTAAACCTTATTCCCAGAACAATACATAACATTTTGTTTTCATTCAGATACCAGAATAGCTCATTTTTGTCTTGCATTGTTCTTAAAGAAAGTTTATACTTTCTTGTTTTTTGAAGCATAATAGGAAAAAAGTTAATTAACCTCTGATGTCATCATACCTGTTTTTATAAAACTTAAATCACCTTCCCTCCTCTACCAAGTTAGATGATATTGGTGAGCCACCTTTATAGCCTTGCTGAATGCCACAGTTGCAGTCTTTGAAAGGATATGAAACACTGTAATTTTTTAAAAGGTTGGGAGACATGACTGTAAATGAAACAATTGCTCAACTACCCAGCATGTTCTTAGTAGGTTTAAATTCCTCTGATAATTAAATTGCATTATATTTGAATGTACAAGTCCAGATTACAGTTGTCTTTCCCAGGTGTACATTAAAGAAATTAGTTTTTTATTTTTGTTTGTGGATGAATTTGATGCATCCATCTGTTAATTGAAAATGTGAGGATTGAAATTATGAAATGTTAGCTCAGATTGACATAACTAAAATTGCTTTGCTTCTTGGGTGAGTGAATTCTAGTCATCAGCTTTGTAGTTCAAGCTATAAAAAGCATAAGATACCTAGAAAAGGAACAGTAATAACAAAGCGGTATCTTATACTTTTTTTTAGCTTGAAGTACAAAACTGAGCTTTGCTCAGTTTAGTAGGAGGCTCTTATTACCCAGGTACTTACCTACATGGTGTGAGGTTGGGGATAGGAGGAGGTGGAAATAACCTATATCATTATAATAAAGGTGTGAATCCCTGAATCCCTGCCTTTTATCTGCTGACAGCTTCTTAAAAGAGAAGAGCTGAGCTTTTTTTTTTTTTTTTTTTAACCACACTGGTTCTCATTTTAACTGGTATATTTTATAATTTTAAGTTCAGCATGAGGCCCTATGCCAAATATCCATGAACTGTAGTTATTAGGCCAAATTCCATTTACTGGAACAATGTACCAATCATTCTTCTAAGCTCTTACTACCTATTTTTGTAAATAAAGTTTTATTGGGATATGTCCATGCCTGTTTGTTTATATATTATCATGCATGGCTGCTTTAGAACTACAGTGGCAGAGTTAAGTAGTTGTGACAGTTGTTGCAGAGAGCATATGGCCCATAACATGAAAAATATTTTCTAGCTGACCCTTTACTGGAAAAGTTTGCCAGCCCCTGGTCTGTGGCAGTGAAAGCTGTATCTGAAACTCAGCACCTTCAAGTAATCAACCAGCATTTACTAAGCACCTTCTGTGCTGCTAGACAGGTACAGTGGAACCATTCTATAATCCAGATAAGACTTGGGTGAAACAGGAAACATGACATTATATGTAGCAGCATTATGTGTGACATAATAAAGACTTAAGTTATACCAAACATACATTTAGAAAATAAGATGTACAGTGTACAAATGTGATGAGTCAAACAGTATGTGGAAAGGGTGCTTGCACAAGAGAAAGATCACTGTGAAAGGATGGGCAAAGACAGAAATAGAAGGCATGGGTGAGGGTGAAGAAGTGGGGAAGAGGACAGATAAAAAATTGCAGGAATATATAATTAGAAGTCATTTGATGCCCTCGTTTTACGTATTTCCATCACTTTATATTCATGCATACTTCTGTACAGTGATAAACATCAGTAATAATAATAGCTTACACTTAAGTAGCTTTATGTGCCAGTCACTCTTCTTACATAGATGAACTCTTAAATCCTCACAACACTATGACCTAGGTAATATTATTATTTTCGTTTTAGAGATAAAGAAACTGAAGCACGAGAAGTTAACTTACTTACCCAAGTTCACAAAGCTAATAAGTGTCAGTCAGAATTGAAAATTAAGTGATCTGCCATCAGAGACTAAATTTTTAATTGCTGTGCCTTTCATTATACCCATATTATTTATGTGTCTCTCCCAATCTAGATTATGACTTTCACAGTGGCAAGATTTATTCTGCTCACTCTGTATATCTAGCACCTCACACAGTGTCAGATGAGTGAATTAGTTCATGAACACTGCATTCCAAAAGTGTCTTGTTCACTAATTATAAGCAGAGCATTTAACTTTTCATGTTAGGAATCTTGCTTGTGTTACAAAGTATAGATGGCCCAACATTACTCAAATACAGCTGGCTAGGCTACTCAAATATTGAAAAGAAAATATATCAGAATGAAATAGCCCTGCATATTGGAATAATCTCACTTTATTCTCCTGTAATCTGAAGTGTAAGATATAGAAAAGATAATTAGGGGCCGGGTGTGGTGGCACATGCCTGTAATCCCAGCACCGTGGGAGGCTGAGGTGGGCACATCTCCTTCAAGAGACTGAGACCACCCTGATCAACATGGTGAAACCTCCTCTCTACTAAAAATACAAAAATTAGCTGGACATGGTGGTGCACACCTGTAATCCCAGCTACTCCGGAGGCTGAAGCAGGAGGATCGCTTGAACCCAGAAGGTGGAGGTTGCAGTGAGCCGAGATCACGCCACTGCACTCCAGCCTGGCAGCATAGTGAGACTCCAAAAAAAAAAAAAAAAAAAGAAAGAAAGAAAGAAAAGATAATTTGGAAAAAGACAGGGAGGCTTATGTAACATCATTAGTCATTTAGAAAAACCAAGTATATGCACATTAAGCTGTGTGCTTTTAGGAGACTTGAAAAGTCATCTTGGTCCAGCCTTCTCATTGACCAGTGAGGAGACCGAGACCTGGAAAAGTGAAGTGTCATGCTCAAGGACATACTGTTTTTTAGGGGCAGATAATTATCTAATAGGTTCAAAAGACACCTTCGTTCAAAGCATGAAAGATTTTCAACCACATTTTTAAAGGATTTCATCCATAAGGATTGTAAAGGGGATCTAGAAGCTTACAGCTTATATTAAACCATTTTTTCAGAAATTCTTTTTTTTTCCCCCTAAGATAGAGTCTGTCATCCAGGCTGGAGTGCAGTGGCATGATCTCAGCTCACTGCAACCTCCATCTTCTGAGTTAAAGTGATTCTCCTGCCTCAGCCTCCAGAGTAGCTGGGATTACAGGCACACGCCATCACTCCTGTGTAATTTTTGTATTTTTAGTAGAGACAGGGTTTCTCCCTGTTGGCCAGGCTAGTCTCAAACTCCTGGCCTCAAGTGATCCACCCGCCTGGGATTACATGTGTGAGCCTCCACACCCAGCCCAGAAATTCCAATTACTAAAAATTTTATTCTGGTTTTAAGATAGAAGTTCCTAAAACTTTAACCAACTATTCAGTCTTTCTGGCTTACTATCATTTTAAAAATCAAATCTAAAAATTGGCACTATTGTTATGATTAACTGAAGTTTTAAAATGAAAAAATCTTACTCAAATACTTGGCCTTTGGGATCAAAAAGTTAATCTAAATAACCATTCCCATCTCCAGAACATTTTTTTTCTGCCCAAGCTATTCCACTTCTTGGAAATTGTCTTTACTTGGAATAAAAGCCAGACACATTGCATGATCCAACCCAGTTGGCTGTGCTCATGTGGTGGTAGTGATGGTAGTGGTGAAGACGGGAAGGAGGCTATCATTAACTGAGCATTCCCACGCGGGGCGCACTGAAGTACATTATGGGATTGATATAATCTTCACGCAAGCCCAGAAGAACACATATTGTTACTACTGTTTATTATTACTATCTTCATTTTGCAGATGAGGAAACCAAAGGTAAAATATCTGTAACCCATGGTTTCAGAGTTGGCACATCGTTAAAGGCAATTTAATTAGGACATCAGCCTCTAGTTTCTGCTAATAGCAGACAGTTATTTAGATCAACTCTTCTGTTTAAATATGCTGGCTAATTTTTTAATTTTTTTTAACCATCTCAAATGCGCTGAAGAGCTAAAAAGACAGTGGGCTACTCCTGGGACAATTTTTGTATGAAATCCTACCACAGAGAGGAAAGTAGAATGGGAGCCCATCACTGCTTATTCCTGAGGGCATTTGCCTGAATCACAGTCAGGCAAGAGTGGCAACGGCCAAGCTTCAGGGCCTGCCTAAGTCAGAAGGTCTCAGAGGAGATCTCTGTTCCATGCCGAAAGCCTAAATGGCTAACCTCAGTGCAAGGGCAAACTAGATCTAAAACTGCTCCTCTTCCCACAGTCCCAGGAAATTGAAGAGGAGGTATCTGGAGCTAAGCAGAGAAGCAGAAGAAATTGGAAAAGTGGAACAAGCTGTGAACATAGCCTAGCCCTGGCATAGATTTGCACCCTGGGTGTTTGTATACATGTCCTGGGTTAGACAAGGCACTTCATGCTGAGAAGTGGTTTGAGGCGGTCTCCACCTTAAGCCTCAGAATACCTCTCCAAAATTTTTCTTTCTTTCTTTCTTTCTTTTTTTTGAGACAGAGTCTTGCTCTGTCGCCAGGCTGAAGTGCAGTGGCGCAATCCCGACTCACTGCAACCTCCACCTTCTGGGTTCAAGCAGTTCTTCCACCTCTGCCTCCCAAGTAGCTGGGACCACAAGCACGTGCCACCACGCCCGGCTAATTTTTGTATTTTTAGTAGAGGTGGGGTTTCACCATGTTAGCCAGGATGGTCTCGATCTCTTGACCTCGTGATCCACCCACCTCGGCCTCCCAAAGTACTGGGATTACAGGTGTGAGCCACCGTGCCCAGCCTCAAAATTTTTCTTTCAAGAGGAAAAACTACCAAGCAAAGAGAACTGGGCACACAGAAAACAAACCCACCTGAAGAAGATCAGCAGGAACAGCAGGCAGCAAAAACAAATGCATACAGACTTAAGACCACAAATTTTTGAAGTGACATAGTAGATTTTTAAAGTCCTAAACAAAACTTCTAGATTAAAATTTAAAACTCACTGTATTTGATAGCATGTTAGACACAGGAGAAGAGAGAATTGGTGAACTGGAAGATAGATCTGAATTCAAGCAGTCTGACACTAGAGCCTGTTTAACCAGTCTTCTGTCTGCCTACACGGGGATCTTGCCAATGAAAAAAAAAAAATCCTCATCACTTGTGATACATATTTTGACTATACACTAGCCTGAAGTTTTCGTGCCTATTTTGTTAATTTTCTAGGTAGCCTGAGTCTGAATAGAAATTTCTTTCTTGGAAGAGATAAGGGATATTCCTTGGTATCTTCCTGCTTTTGACAAATATTGTTGTAAACAGACGGCTCTGGAATTAATTAACTAAATGTGGATTCTTGTCAAGGCTGAGTCACAGAGGGTACGGAGGGAGTATAGCGTGGGCACCAGCCCGAAGGACTGCTCTTTAAGATCCTGTATAAATTCTACTTATGAGATCATCACCACTCTTTACCGTTCTTATTAAGAACAGGTCAGAGTTTTTTGTTTCATTTTGTTTGCTTGTCACTTAAACCTCACTACAAAGGTGTTTTAGACAAGAGTCATGTTTTTCCTATTATTTAGCTTTTCACACTGAGGACAGCTGTCATGTGAGAAAGTAACCTCAGTTTTAGCTTTTTAGCTGCTAAATATCTATCACAGAGATTCTGTCAACAATGTGATACCTGGTAGCTGTTTTTTTTTTTGTTTCCAGGGGAGAGGACAGGGCAAGCCACATTGGCTTCAGGTGTGAGAACAGCTTTGAATTGTGCAGCCTCAGGCCGTCATATCCTGACTGCATAAATTCAGAATGTTTTGGTGCTCATCTTGTGTGTAAATCACTTCCAGGGGCCTGGGCGTATTTCCCAATCTCTGTCTACCTTAAGAATTGTTTAGGATAGACACGTGGAGCTTGCTGTTGGCTTTTCCGGAACATTGTTGCTCAAGCACCCCATCGCAGCAGTAATCTTGTTTCATTAGCTTATTGCAAGAATAATTTCTCCAACGAGGGGTCATCAGAATCTCACCCTTAAAAGAGTTCTCTTATTTGCCATCTGATATCTGTGAACATTATCACTTTTTCTATTTTTTCTGTTTAAATTTAATTTGATTTTTCTATGTTTTACTATCAGCTTACAGTTTGCGTTTGTTTTGATAGTTCAGCGGGCAAATGTAATGAGTGCGTTTAACCTCCTTTTTGGTCCTGCCCAGATATTTTTTTTGTATGTGGGCTCCACTTTGTGTGTGTGTGTGTGTGTGTGTGTGTGTGTGTGTGTGTGTGTTCTGTATTCTGGATGAAATGCTCGATACCTGTCAATCAGCAGAATGAAGAAATGGAGAGAGGAAGGAAAAAAGGACAGGGAGCAGGGCAACATTTAATAATTCTAGAGGATTTTAGGATTTTCATGTTTGTTGGAAGTTCTTGATGGACATGAATAGCAATGTATGAGGAATTTGTATTAGAACTCTCTAAGGAGCTCATTTGTTCATGAGGTAAACATGTATTGCATCCCTTCAGTCAGCATGCGTTGACTGTGTACCTGTTATGTATCAGGCATGGTGCTAGCTGCCTAGTACTTTCTTGGCCTGTCAGGAAAAACAAACTAGAAAACAGCTGATTTTACAGCACAGTGTAATAAATAATAAGATATGAACAGCATTTTAATGAAGTACAGAAGCAGGAATTTATAATTCTGCTATAGGAGCAGAGAAGGGCTTTACCCTTACACAGGAGCTGTGTGAGACATTGTCGTTAAGCAGAGAAGAGGAAGGCAGGGAGATCTAAAAGGTCATTGTCTCTGCAGGGAACATGGAAATGTTTAGTGACTGGAACTAAGTGGACCAAAGAATCACCCAGAGAAATTTTTTTAAGTGAGAATCTCTAGCCTTGCCCCCAGAGATTCTGATTCCAGAGGTTCATTTGTATTAATAGTCAGCACCTCAGGCAGTTCTGTGATGGGTGTTCCAAAGACTGCACTTTGAGAAATACTGACCAGCTCAAGACTGCTTGGCTCTTCTGACTTCTAGTTGTGGGGTCAGTTTGACTCACTGGAAAGAACTCTAATTTTGCAGTCTGACATAACTGGCTTTGAATCCTGGCTCTGCTCCTGGACAGTGAATTTAATGCTAACCCATAGCTCTAGACTTGAACAAGACACTTACTAAGCCTCAGTTTTTACATTTGTAAATTGAGGGCAATAATACCTTCTTTTGCAAAATCATTATGAAGCAGAAGATGCAAAGTACCTAGCCCAGTATTTGCCACTAGTAAATGATCATTAAATGATAGCTATTACTGTCCTTCTTGTTTACTGGATACAGCACTCATAATGGTTAATAATGGAAACTAAACCTCTCTTTGCCTCATTTTCTTCATCTGTTAAATGGGGATGATAAAATGGTACCAATGTTACAAGGGTGTTTGTGAATCTGAAATGAGACATGCATGAAAAACACTAAAACAAGGCCTAGTATATTAGAAATTCTTTAATAAATGAATTTCACACATAATTTTATTGTTGATGATGGTAATGACAATGATGTCATTCCTGTAACTGGCTAGCCAGTTCCATATGAATGACAATGATGTCATTCCTGTAACTGGCTAGCCAGTTCCATATGAATACGTCTTAGTATCTATTGAACCGGATATTGGGGTGTAAGTTATGATCTCAGCCTTGCCATGATTAGCCTGTAATCTTTAGCAATCATCCCTCCTTTGTGAGACCTCAGTTTCTCTTATTCGTTAGTTCATGTGTTCATTCCAAAGCCTTCTAGGAAGTACTGTATTGAATGCCAAATCCTGGAGGGATAGATCAGGCAGCATCCACTCAGTATGCAATTAGTCCTGTTGAAGTAGAGTATGTTTATGTAGCATCTTTTAGACCAGGTATTTGCTATACATCTTGAGTGGAGCACCAAGAGTCCCAAATGGAGCTTTCAAACTCTTCCTTGGTTCATATATAAAGAAACTCTTATCAGTGGAATGAAATGTTGAACAGTAGAATCTGGGTAAAGGAAATATGGATGTGCTTTGCTGTAATTTCATTCTTTCAAATTTACTATAAGTTTGAAATTACTTCCAAATAAAAAAAGAAACTGTACTGTTCCAGACCCATCTAATGCAAATAAGTGATAATATCACATAATGTTGTATAATTTGTTACTACACAACCAAGACCACTGGATTTGGAGTGGGAAGATCTGGGTTCTAGTCTCAGCTTATTCACTACCACTACTTTAGGACCTTGCCTAAATTACCTCACTACTCTGAGCCTCCATTTTCTTCATCTGTGAAATGACTCCCAAAGTCTTCCTCACGGGGACTTGGTGAGGACTCAATAATATATCTATATATAATTTCTATATATTATGTATATACTATATACACAAATACATACATACACACATATAAAACTGTTTTGTCATCCGTAAAATGCTGTGCAGATGTTGGTGGCTCTTCACCTTAGCTGAGCTCGTGTCCAGTGTGTGTGTTTCCTGGAGTAGCATCTATCAACTCACAAGCTCCCTTCTGTTTTCTTGCAGCCTGAAAGAATCTCAGGGGAGCAGTATGGAATTCATTCTGATGTCTGGAGCTTAGGAATCTCTTTTATGGAGGTATGTTGTTTGCACATAGACTCTTCTGTGCATATCTGTACTAATATTTTCAATCAGGAAAGTGAAGATTTTGAAAGAATAAGATAAAGTAAACCTTCAGCATGTTATATAGATGTATGCACAGAGTTTGACCATAAAGTCTTTGTTCCTTGTGTGGCTTGTCAACTGACTCTGGAGGTTATTTTAAAGCACTGTTTATTATAGATCACCTGTGTAAGACTTGCCTGGAGCACTTGTTAAAAATACAGATTCCTCAGGCTGGGCAAGATGGCTCACACCTGTAATCCCAGCACTTTGGGAGGTGAGACGGGTGGATCACCTGAGATCAGGAATTCAAGACCAACCTGACCAACATGGAGAAACCCCGTCTCTACTAAAAATACAAAAAATTAGCTGGGTGTGGTGGCACATGCCTGTAATCCCAGCTACTCGGGAGGCTGAGGCAGGAGAATCGCCTAAACCTAAGAGGTGGAGGTTGCAGTGAGCCGAGCTAGTGCCACTGCACTCCAGCCTGGGCAACAAGAGCAAAACTCTGTCTCAAAATTAAAAAAAAGATTCCTCAGCCCCATTCAGAACCAATTAAATCCAAATCTCTAAGAATCTGCATTATTAACCTGTTCCCTGGGTGATTCTTATAAAGCACTAAATCTGGAGAACCTGTGTTCTAAAAGAGGGATTCCAGAAAAATTCTGTGCCCTGTTGGAATGCATATATAACTTCCAAAGGTGATTAGTTTAAAAGGTACAGCCCTACTCATTTGGATGTTTAAGTTCTATAGGTTTGTTTTGAAAGGAAAAAAAAAAGTCACCTCATTATAGTATAGTCATATCACATGTGTATGTGGGTTAAGGGGTGGTGTGATATGATGGAGGCAGAAGGGGAAGAGGAAGTATGTATTTAGCACAATTGCAATATCTACTCTTTATAGCTGTATTTAGAATGGACTTTATCTTAGTATACTAGATATAGCTCCACTAGAACTCTATGCTATGCTTTTTTTTAATAAAATGATTATTGATTTACAAGAAAATGCATATAAATTATATTAGAAGGACATATGGCTCAGTTTGAATTATAATATTACAGAACCTGTATACTGACCAGTGCTTCAAAAATTTTCATTTAAATTGATTCAGAAAAAGAAGGACTTTTTTTTTTTTTCTTAATGGAGATGGGGTCTTGCCATATTGCCCAGGCTGGTCTTGAACTCTTGGGCTCAAGTGATCCTGATGCCTTGACTTCCCAAAGTGCTGGGATTTCAGGCTGGGACCACTGTTCCTGGCCAGTACTTCTTATAATAGAAAAGTAGAAAGGACTCTTTAAATAATGTCATAGAGTTGCAGTCATGATTTTATAACCATATTTTTTTTTTAGTCAAATACTTTTTCTGCTATTTTTGTAATGCATGAATGCAATTGTATTTGTCAGGAAATAATCTTCAAACTCAATTCACCTGCACAGTAGCAAGAAAGCAAAAATAAACTGTTCAACTTTATTAAATCTTCTTCTTCTTAAAAGGGAATCTAAGAGGAAATACAGTATGTATGCATCAGCTGAGAGGTTGGCAATAATGGTGGTCAGATCTCAGAACTGAATCTCCCAACAGAATCCTCAAGGGCCTATTCTATTAGCCTGTTTCAAGGCAAACTAGTGTTTTTGTTGTGTGGGACTCAGGATTGCTGTTATACAATTTCCTTTTGCATATTCTAAGTTGTTGTCATTTATTTTATAAATGACTGGCTATAGTGTAAGACAATTGAGAAGTTACATGGCGTAGAGATAAGAATCCAAGATTGGGAATGGAAGACCTAGATTATAGTTCCAGGTTTGCTCCTAGTTTCTTAGGTGACCCTGTTCTTCACTGGGCCTCCGTGTCTTCATTTGTAAAATACTGACCTCTGAGCCCCTTTCTAGAGTAACATTCGATGACTCTGCTACTGCTCATTTTTTTTGTTTTCTTTCCTTAGCTTTCACATAGCAACTCTAGAGTTGTGTGACTAAGACAGTGATAAAATGGCATAAAATGCAGAGGCATGACACTACCGGAAGAGAGCATAACTATTAGATTTAAGATTTAGAGCACATATGAATGTTCACCATTCATCCTTTCTACAGTCATTTATGCATTCATGTGCTGAGCTCCTGCTATGCCTGCTGTGTAGGCAATGGGGATGGAGTGATGAAAGAACACGCAAGTCTTGGCTGTCATGGAGTTCCATTTGGGGATGGCTGGGGCATGAGGGGAAGGACAGAAAACAAAAGGGTAACTAACTGTGTAATTTGTCGGGTGGTGATATGGAGAAAAAGAAAGCACACCAGGCCTCTCTGATGAAGTACCACTCGAGCAAATACTTGACTGTGTGAGAGAAGGGAGCCACCTGACAACAAGTTCAAAGGCACCAAATAGAGGGCACTCGGCATATTTAAGGGAGAGACCAGTATGACTTGAGTGGAGTTAGCAAGGAAAAAGTGAGAAAGAATAAATTTAGAGCGGTAGCCAGGGGCCAGGTCAAATATAGCCTTGTTGGCCATGCTAAGGACTTTAGGTATTACTATTAGAAGAAATGATCTGACTTAAATTTTCACAGGATCACTGAGTGCTCTGTGGATCTTGACTGTGGAGAGGCAGGCATGGAGACAGGGAGATCAGTTTAGGTAGGTAGGAAGACAGATGCTCAATAAATATGACATAGTTATCTTTATGTTGCATATTGAAATATGGGTCTGTCTGCCAGTATTTTGCCGGATGCTAGGGGTGCAAAGATGATTGAAAAGAGACTCTTTGTAGTATAAGGAGGGAGACTGCCATTGATGTATTTGGGTTTTCTTGATGATATTCATTTATCCTGGAGATAAACTATTGAATATTCTCTGGAAGACTGAAAAAAACAGACTCATTGAATTTTGGGGATCAAAGAGGATTAGGTATAGAGAACTGTGTGAAAAAGTGTCAGCCTTGAGTGTGGGACACCTGAATGCCAGAAGGACTGTGTTGGCTCATGCGGTAAAGTAGAGAGCAGATAACCAGATGGTCAGGAGTGAAGGCCAGGAAGAGCTAGGCTTCTTGATGCTCCTTGTACTTTAAAATGGCTGGTAAGGAGCCGGGTGTTACAGCAGGAGGAAGAGATGTTATTAGAGATTGTAGAGAGGAATCAGATTATGATCATCAGAGAGGGTTGGTGAGCACCTCTGTACATGATGCTTAACTAAGTGCCTTCAGAAGGAACTATGGGATTGTAGCCCCTGCCCTTTAGGGGCTTATTACTCCCATGCAACATGTTACCAACCCAGGTAATAGACCAGTAAGTCATTAAAGAATAGTGTAAGGCCTCTGGCATATGTTTTATGCCTAATCTGTTCGGGGTCCAAGGTAAAGAAAAGCATGTGATAGGGAAAAGAAGTAGGAGGTTTTGAGCCCATAGATGAGAAATTGTGGGGATTCAGTAGTGAAGATAACAAGGGAACCCCAAGGTTCTTGTTTTTTCTTAAGGGCCAAGGTGATGAGAACATTACCTGAAGGGATTAGGAAGTTAGTCCAAAAGAAGTACTTGAAGGCCAGGATTCTTCTGTGTTTTTACCACAGTATGCTGGGAAATAGAAGTGGTAAATACAATTTAAAATCACTGTAGATGTAAGTGTGGACCTTAATAGCATTTTAGAATCTGAGGAACAAACTGCATCCTGTAACATAGTCAGCACTTTCTAAGAATTGCGCCTCTTCTGTTTACTCTCATTTTTAAAAACAAGATTCTCTTTCTAGCAGAAACTTTCCTTCCTTCAATTCTTAAGCACTTGCCCTGTGCCAGGCCCTGGAGAGTGGAGCACACAGAGCTAAGGAGAGCCCACCTCTGGTAGAGAAGACAGACACCTATAGCCCAGAATAGTGTGATGGGTCTTCAGTAAAGATATTTACGAACGACTCTGAGCCACAAGGGGAAGGGGGTGGGATTTCACGCAGAGTTGACATTTGAGGGAGATTGATCTCGAACAGACTTTGCCATTAGAAGAAAGTGGGAAAAGATGGAGGATCCCTTCCCCATTTCCCAGCATACTCTAAGACAAACACTTAAGGAGAGATGAAATGTCACATTTTTATGCAAGGTCTCCCCTAGTGTAGTTTCATTACCTGTTTGTGTGCATGCCTTCTTCAAAAGTGTTTTCAGTTAAACAGTTTCTTCTCCTAGGGTACCTGTGGTGGAGGAAAAAATGGGTAAAAATATAGGAAATTGAGCAAAGGAATTTCCTTGAAATTGCACAGGAATCAAATAGAGACCAAGCCTGATGGCTCGCTCCTGTAATCACAGCACTTTGAGAGGGTGAGGCAGGAGGATTGCTTGAGGCCAGGAGTTCAACACTAGTCTAGCAACATAGCAAGACCCCATCTTTAAAAAAAAAAATTTTTTTTTTTCATTTAGCCGGGATTGGTGATGTGTGCCTTTAGTCCTTGCTACGTGGCAGGCTGAGGCAGGAAGATTGCTTCAGCCTAAGAGTTTGAGGCTGCAGTGAGCTATGATTGCATCACCATACTCCAGCCTAGTCAACAGAGCAAGATGCAGTCTTTTTTAAAAAAAAAAAAAGGTTGGGGGCAAGTGCGGTGGCTCACATCTGTAATCCCAGCACTTTGGGAGGCTGAGGGGGGCGGATCATGAGATCAGGAATTCAAGACCAGTCTGGTCAACATAGTGCAACCTCATCTCTACTAAAAATACAAAAAATTAGCCGGATATAGTGGTATGTGCCTATAATCTCAGCTACTTGGGAGGCTGAGGCAGGAGAATCACTTGAACCCGGGAGGCAGAGGTTGCAGTGAGCTGAGATCACGCCATTGTACTCCAGCCCAGGCGACAGTGTGAGACTCCATCCCTCCCCCCTCAAAAAAAGAATCAGATAAAGGCAAAATGGGAATGAAAATTTCCTCTCTTCTATGTCTCCCTAGCACCCTTTCCCCCAGTTTCATAAACCCTCATCTCTGAGGTTTGGCGATGCCAGAAGCAGAAAGT